CACATGACTTTTACTGGCTGAATGGATAAACATGATTTATTGAATCATTCCTGTTACTAGACTCTTAGGTTGTTTTCCAACTTACTGCTATTTACAAATAATATCCCGATGAACATCCTTATATTTAAGGCTGTGTGCATTTTTCTGATTTTCCTCCTTGAAGATTCCTAGAAGTTGCTTAGCTAAAGGAGTTGCATGTTTTTAAGAATTTTTATATATAATATCCAATTACCCGACATAAAAATTTACCAATTTGTGTATCTACCAGCAGTGTTTGACAAAATAAGGGTGGGTGCTTTGACTGTATTATCTTGACCCTATCCTACACATTAATATGGAGGAGACCACAGAGAAGCACCATGGTCTGCAACTGACATGGGGAAGTCCCTAAAGTGAAGAGATTATTTTCAGGGTAGACAATATGCCATCGGTTTCACTCTAGCTTTTGAGTGGTTTGCATAGCACCACATATGAGATTCACTCAGTAGGTTGTGGCCTACAAATCCTGAACTGTATCAGTCCTTCCTACCTTAAAAATCAGCTCTCCTCCTGGACAAACCCCTGGCAACTAAGGATGGTTAGGTATTCCCACTCTGGGATTCTTCAAACTTCTGTCCATAGGGAACTATGTATGCCCTAGGGAAAGGGCCTCTCTTGCTGGAATCTTTCTCATCTGACCTTGACAAAGTCCTAGGCATCTCTCATAAACCTAGTGCAGTGCAGATTTAGTGGTAGTCATTATCATTGAACTAAAGCTATTTCAGGATAAAATGTATGCCCAAGACAATTTTAATCTTTAGGTCTGAGAGTAGTTCTTAGAATGGCCAAATAACACTGGATCCCTAAATGTCATGTTCATATCTCAATGGCAATTTAAAAAAATGATGTACAACAAGATTCACAGTAATAGTTTTCTTATGCGAAACATGCTAGCTTCTACTATTATCATTATTCAATGCTTTTTATGTACCAGGAAGTCTACTTATCACTTTCCATACAAACTCATATAATCCATATAACTCCATAAAGTAGGCACTACTATTATCCCCATTTTTCTAATGAGATAAATAAGGCACAGAGAGGTTAAGCAATTTCCCCATGATCACACAGCTAGTGAATAGCACAGAATGGAGACTGAATGCTGGTCTTTCTGACTCCAAAGTCTTAGTCCTTTCATTCACTATTTGGGAAGATTCTATTTCTATGCTTTTCTACCACCAGATAAAAAAAAAACAAAAATTCAGGAGCAATGTCCTATGTGTGGAACTAACAAATGATTATTCCCAAATGCAGGGCATATGTTACCTTGTCTGAATCTTGAATTATTTTCACATTCTCTGTACCAAACTTTTCACCATAAAGTTTAACAAGTCTCAGGGAAATCTCTGAGAGGCCAGTAAGCTTTGGTTCTTTGTAGATGTATTCCTTTCCATCCTCTTCTTCAAAAAAGGACTATTGTAAAGTTAAACATACAATAAGTTTTCAACAGTACGACCAAACACAGCATTTCAAGAAAATCTACTAAAAAGCAAGCCACAAGTTTGAAGTTGATTTTAAATAAGAAAATATCATTACAACCCACGTGCAAATATTCACCCTGTTAGCTTCAAATAAGTGAGAATTTTCAAATTCACTGTCATATAATCATTGGCTTGCAGATTCCCATACAAGGTTATTCTCATTCTCTGATATTTACTTGGTTATTTATTTATTTAAAAGTTCTGAGAATTGGTAGTAAATAAATACTTTAACAAGCTTAAAAGAAAATGCAACTATGGGAAAAAAAAAATCTAAGCCTTATATGTTGTACTCTGACCTAATGGATTTAGATATGGGAACCAAAGTGAAGTTCACAAAAGAGGCTGCCTGATGTCATGATAGGCAATGGACCCAGACAGAACCCTCCCACCGATAACTGCTCTTACACTAATCTGTAATTCAAATGTGAATGTTTACAATGCAAAAACAGCTTGATGAACTAGGGCATACTTACTTGGCCATAAAAGGCAACTCTGAAGAAAGTACCCAGAAGTCTTTTTTTTGTGTGCATAACCTCCAAAATTTTTGTATAAGCTCCATGAAGAGTTCTGTAAATTTGAGTAAGTTTCTGAAAAATGAGAAGATACAAAATCAGCTGTCTTTTGGATAAGTACTAAATGCCTCCAAGATGAATGCACAAGGGGAAAACAATGTCAATATTTCCTTTGCAAAATGGTTTTAGTGGGGCCACTCCCTGTGCCCCTCCTCAGTCTTTCACCATTAGACAAAAGTCTTCAACATTTTTAGGTCTAAGAGTAGAGCTTAAACATGGCCAAATTAACACTGTGTCCCTAAATGTCATGCTTCATACCTCAATGGCAATTTATACTTTTAAAATATTCAACTATTATCAACAACTATTTTCTGTATGCC